AAACAATTTCAGACAAGATAGAGTAAAGGACTAGTCAGAAAGCTCAGAATGATTGATGGACCTTGACCTTTAGCCCTCTGAGTTCTCACAACTCAACTATGGAAACACACACCAATGTTTATTTTAAAAACCTCTGAGAATAGTTTCCACAGCGTTATCACGTTAGCACATTATTTACTTTACAGGACCAGGCATTGATATAAGATAGAAAGGGTAAGACAACTGAGTAGCCTTCCATATGAGAACAAAATATCTTCAGAGTAACGACTGATTTAAAAGATGCTATGACAAGATGAATTAAATTTACAGAGCTGTGCGTTGGGAAAAGCAGCTGTTACAAGTTGTGAGTTTTGGCTCAACTCAGTCTAAAAAGGCGTTTGAAAGCTCTTGTGAGAAGGAGGCTGTAACAGAGGGGAGCATTCAAAGATTAATAATCAAATCCCAGGACAGTCCCGGGATGAAAACAGAACTGGGGGGCTGATTTAAAATAATCTTGGGATAATCTTCCTGAACCTCAGTTTCCTAATTTATAAAATGAAGATGATAATACCTCAGAGATTTACCCTGGAAGCAAAGTGAGCTAACAGCTGCGAAAGCAGTTTGGAAAGGAGAAAGGGGTTCACGAGGGTAAACGCGAGGTTGCTGTTTTCTTGGGCAAACGACTTGACGAGTTGGAAGGAGAAAACTAAGATGGGAGTCAACTTTTACTTCTCATTTGTTTCACTGGCTAAATAGAACCTGACACCCAACACAGGTCCTCAGTGCCGAGTGCCTCCCAGGACCCCACCTGGCTTCCTCTGTGTCAGGGGAGACCCTTCATTGTTCACATATGCAGAACTCCTCTGTGTCATCGGCTCCACGTCTGTTCCACTGGCACTTAACCTGTGTTCTTCTGTAGTGTCTGTCTGTCGGCATGTTACATGGAGTTACCAATATTCTTTTTACATTGTTTCTCACATTCTCATTTACAGATCTACCAAATCAGGCTAACACTCCTTAAAGTATTAACTATTACTCCTTAAAGGTAGGGAGTATGGGAAGTATTATTATTATTATTACTATAAAGAACCTTGCAAAACATCACGCACAACCCAGAGTCTCTCAAAAGGAGCACTCCTGGCATTTGGGACCAAACAGCTTGTGTGGGTACCTGAGCCGTGCTCTGAAGGATGTTTCACAGTGTAGTGGGTCTCCACCTGCGAAATGCCAGGAGCGACTCTTTCTGTCCCCAGAGCTGTGACGACCGCACTATCTCTAGACACTGTCAAACCCCCAGGTGGAGGGGCCGCAAGATTGCCTCTGGTTGCGAACCGTCTCTCTAGGTGGATATAAACCAATCTTATGGTTACTGTAACTACTTCTATTTTTTCATATTACCTGAAATAATGCTCAGAACTGAATACTCAATGAATATTTACTAAATAAGTGAAAAAATGGGAAAAGGACTTCATGAGTTATATTCATAACTGGCCTTACAGCACAAACCCTTATACGATTAAGGCAATATTATACAATTCATACTTTTCTACCTGGCATACAATATTCTTAGTATATGAACATTTTAAAGTAACTATGTGTATGTGCACTAGAAATTATATTCTCACGTGTACATAAATATCACAGCTAACAGAGGGTCTTTCCTAACACATGCCCTATGAATATACCTATGATGACCAGCATACTCTTTATCTATCAAGGATGAGATGGAAAAATTATTTTAAATTCCAGGAAAATACTGCATCAAACACCGATTATCAGACTCATTTTCAGAGAATTAACTCTACATGGAAAAAAAGAATACAGTAAAGAATTCTAAAAAGGTTGACAAATAGAGGATCTCAGATGAGTGTTATTTAGCACATTTCTGTTCTCTTAAAACATAAGCTTCTTTAATATATCTTCCCAGATCTTTTCCAAAACCATCAATCTTTTCCAAGATGGAAAGATTTGTATTGTCTTTTGATATTTGAAGAACATATGTGAAGCAGCATTTCACCTAGAGCTATTAAAGAATATTGGTATTACTTTGATTTTAAAAACTGATACTTTAGGACCAACATGTTATGGAACACTGATGATTTTTGATTTTCAAATTTTCTCAGTGGATTCTTAAATCCTATATCAACAGGCTACTTTTTCCAAATGACAACTAATAAAGTGTTCTTATTAAAATGGGAGAACTGGAGCTGAAAAAGAATTAAAGGGGCTTCTTTTTCATGTACACTCACTCATCATTCTGGTGGTTTATTGCTACGTACGATCTTTCGGAGGGAATTCTAATTTAGCAGTACACCTCTACTGTACAGTGTGTTAAAAAGAAATAAACAAACCCTTACTTTTGGCTTGGATAAATAATTTGTGACAGGTCAATGTCCCTCCCATCAAGTAAAACTGAAAAAGCCAGATGAAACACAAGAAACATCTGTTTAAAAGCCTCTGATAGCTGGTGAGACTATTAAGATGTGAGTGGCTAAGATCCAGAGAGAAGACAACTGCAGAACGAACAGTCACATTCTGTGTGTGGATGCTTTTACCCCTTGGAACTCGCCAATTCTTGGCACAGTACTAGAAACTGAGAGTCTGGACACAGGGCTACTGCAAAGAGACAGAGAAGCCAGTAGAACTTTTTGTAAACCCACAGAGGTAGAGAGAGAAAACTTTGAGTTTTGGTGCTGCCAGAGGAGTGGGAAATTAAGGCACCAAGGCTGTAGCAGGGAGGAGACACAGAGAAGGGCAGCCTGTCGTGTGGAAGGATTTCCCCTCAAGGCTTCTGCTGTGAAGAGCAACAAGCCAAAGAGTTAGGTAGAAAACCTCTGCAAAGCCAAGCGGAAATCTAGCAATCTTGCTGCTCTGCAAAAAAAAAAAAAAAAAGACAACTTGGGACTGACAAGGAGGAGCAGAATGCAATAAATGCCTTGGTTTCTCAGCAAGGCTCACCAGAGAAATGCACTCTTAGAACCGACGCTGTCTTATAAACACAGAGCAAAATCAGTTCACCTCTTACTGGATCAATGTGGTCTGTTCCCACTCTACACTCCTGCCCTTCAGGAGAGGATCTGATTCCCCCACTGTCAGCCAACAGGCTTCCGATGCTTCAGGTTTAGCTTTAGCTGCAGAGAATGGCTCTAAACAGGGGCACATCCTTCCCAAGAAGGATCACATCCAATGGTGGCTTGAGGTGGGGCTATAAAGACCTGGCTGACTTGTCCCAACATGGAACAAGTCCCTGAGACCATATGAGCCCCAGAACTCCCCGAAGATTTAGCCAAACCTTCAGTGGGCCTGGATCACATTTTGGCTTCTGCCTTCACCTAATCCTGCCTTCTCTCTCCTCCTTCACACAAGTGCTGATATCTAATAAACACCCTCTACAACAAAGTCCATCTCAGTGACTGCTTCTGAAAAGCCCGGCTTGTGACAGTTGCAGGAGTGGTCCCAGAAAGCAGCCAGTCTGACGGGGTTATTGATCTGGATCGCTCACCGCGGGCATGAGGGTGAAGCTGCCATTATTGATGGCAGGTGGAGACGGACGTTCCCTGGCACCAGCGGGTGGTCCAATTGTTAAAATCGTTATCAGAAGTGGACTGGAATACTTTACCCACAGAAAGGAATGCACTCAGTGGGGTGACTTACCAAGTATTTGGTAAGTAACAATAAGGACAATGGATTGGATGGCTTAGTGCTAAGTAAGCATCAATATTCTAGAAAAAGAACTCAAAACTCCAGGCAACTGTAACTCATGTTGTGGAAGCCAAAGGGCCCTCCTAGTAATTTAGAAAGAGGCTCTTACATACTGTAGCATGAGAATCTGGAAAACTGAGGATCAGAAAAGATTAATAATACAGACCCATTAAAATTAAGACTTTCTATTCCATAATAGACACTAACAGAAGAAAGGAAAGGTAAGCCAGCCAGTGGGATATGCATCTCCAATGCATATATCCAACAGATAACTTCTATACAGAATGTATGCAGAGCTACAAATCAGGAGCAGACAGACTACCCAATCAAAAAATGGGCAAAATACTTGGACAGACACTTCACAAAAAAGGATATTTAAATAACCAAAACAGCTTGAAAATTCAACCCCAATCATTAGGAAAATGCCACTTAAAACCACAACACTACCATCAGAATTGCTCAAATGAAAACGACTGGCAATACCAAGTGTTGGGGAGAATTTGGAGCAAGTGCAACTTTCATAGCTAGGAGAAATATAATGTCCATAACCTCTTTAGAAAACTGTTTTGCTAAACAAATACATCGCCATGTTCCATCAAAGACATGTGCAAGAATAGTCACAGTATCACCATTCACAGCAGCTGGAGACAACTCACATGTCTGCCAACAGCAGAGCAGAAAAATACGTTGTGGTATAAAACACATTATTGTTTAGTTACTGTCATGTCTGACCTTTTGCAACCCCATGGACTGTAGCCCACCAGGCTCCTCTGTCCATGAGATTTCCTAGGCAAGCATACTGGAGTGGTTTGCCATTTCCTTCCCTCAGGGATCTTCCCGACTCAGGTATTGAACTTGCATCTCTTGCACTGGCAGGCAGGGGCAGGTGAATTTTTTTACCACTGAGCCACCAGGGAAACCCATAAAATATATTAGAATACCATAAAAACTGAGAATGAATGAACTACAAGAAGATGAAAATACAGTGAATCTCTAAAACATAATGTTGAGCAAATGGAGTGAGACAAAAAAGTCACGCATACGGTACGATTGATACCACTGATATCAAGTTCAGAAGTTGGCAATATTACCTGAGGTGATGGAAGTCCGTATAGAGGTCTCTTTTGGGAGGGTCAGATCACTGGGAGAGAGGTTGGGTTTCTGGGTTGCTATTACTATTCTATTTCTTGATCTGGGTGCTAGTTACGTGAGTCTGGTCACTTTGTTAAAATGTATTGTACTGTATGCATTATTTGTGTATTTCCTAGCATGAACTTCAATAAAAAACTTTTAAAAATGCAACAAAATCAGACACCTACATTGCTTTTCGTTTTCCTGCTGTGGTGAGAAGCAAATCCTGCTGACATTGCTGTTTTCACTTTGGTTTCTAAACTGTGAACATTTGAGGAAACTGGGCCAGGAGGCATTCACCATTCCCAGGACTGACTCACAGCCCTCTTTTGCAGACTCACAGAAGGATCTACAAGGCAGGAGTCCATGACTAGAAGAAAAGAAAAGGGTGGAAATTAATGTTTTTACAGACTGTTTCTCAAAATAATAATTAAACTAAAGAAAAGTTGGCCACCCATGCTACAATAATACCTTAATTTATATTTACTATAATCAACAACGTGAATTGTCAACAACAACCTTCAACCCTGTAACAAGCATTTTAGCCACCTCACTGTCATGATTCTAGAGGGAATAAGCTAGTTCCATAACAGATCATCTAACTCTCTCGTAGAAGGATTTATCCAAAATGATTTTTTTTTTGAGATTTTTTTTGTGTTAAGTAAACCTGTCAACCAAAGAAAAAAAACACAAAACAAAAAAAAAAAACCCCTCTACTTACTGCCATAAGGAGTAAATTAACATGAAAATGTCCCCAAATGAAAAGGCAGGAGTAGATCACAAAATAGGTCAATCTCATTTCTTTATCAACCCTCTGAGAGGCAGACAGAGAGAAGCTGTTCCCTAACCTTCACTGTCTCCCTAGAAAAGAAAATATTACACAAACAAATGGCAACTCTGAAACCTTTTACAGTAATTTATCTTTTCAGTTCTATGCTGTCTTCTGCAAAATAGCAAAACACAAACAACTGTCCACTAGCAGTAAGGTGACGATGCCTCCGAGTTGGTCTTTACTCATCTGACATGCAGATCAACTGCATCAAACTGCGGGATCCGAGGCCCTATGTCTGGGGACTGGGACGCTACAATGTCAAGGTCATGGACTTGTTCTCCTGCAGATCCAGGCAGCTTTTGCTACTTTGCAGCTATGGACTGCACCTCTCACCCTAGCTGGTCATCTGACAAAGGCATCTCAAATGATTTTTAAGAAGACTAGGAAAGAAAATGTACATGTCAGTCAAAGCAAAGCACATACTTCAAAAATGTAGGGTCAATAAGAAATTTCAGAATTATACAGTATCAGATCTGTAAGAAACCTTAATCAACACCTCATTCAAATCCTTCATTTGAGGGAAGTCTAGGGAAATTCTGAGACACACAGCTTCGTAACAGAGGAAGCGGGAAGAGAATCCAGATTTTTAACATTCAACCCATGCCCTATCTCGGAGAAGGCAATGGCACCCCACTCCAGTACTCTTGCCTGGAAAATCCCATGGAAGGAGGAGCCTGGTAGGCTGCAATCCATGGGGTTGCTAGGAGTCGGACACGACTGAGCGACTTCACTTTCACTTTTCAATTTCATGCATTGGAGAAGGAAATGGCAACCCACTCCAGTGTTCTTGCCTGGAGAATCCTGGGGATGGGGGAGCCTGGTGGGCTGCCATCTATGGGGTCGCAGAGTCGGACATGACTGAAGCGACTTAGCAGCAGCAGCATGCCCTATCTACCATCCCATATCATTTATTCTCACATAAGGACCTAATAATTAGGCCTTAAGAACTCCTTGACCCAACAAACACATTTATAATTCCCCACTCATTTGTCTATAGATCACTGGAACATAAAGGGATATGCCAGCCACTGAGTTAAAACAGAAAGGATCAAGTCTATGAAAGAATCTTAAGAGTGAGGCCTTGTTATATATAAAAATGTGGGAAGACAGTACTCAACAATTACATTTAGATACAAGCACTTTTGTCCTTCTCAGAAACTTGTCTTAAAATTGAGTAACTTTTAGAATCCTAATATTCACATAACTATGTTAACATGTATCCAAATTTGTTAGTGAAGATGTGAGAATAAGTTTTACATTTGAAAGAATTAGCTTCAGACATAAAATATGAATTAGTCCAAGCAAGTATCTCAGCGGAAAGGAGACATCTGATTGCCATTCAGGAAATAAATTATTCACAGAACTGAAAATTCTGCCTAAATAACATTTTGGAAAAGATGTTCTTTCCTAGATCTTATTCTAGAGATCTTACATATTTTCTCAAATAGAACCAAGAAATGTGGCTGAGGAATACGGGGACACAGAATTCCTACGCAGTTACTTCTACTTTGCTAGGCTCTGAGTGCTACATACACATTAACTCCTTTCTCACTGCAGTATTATACCAGCGATACCATTACTGTCATCTCTACTGTATGAAAGCAGCAGCATAAGCACAGAAAATACATGAGATTCTTCCAAGATCACTGAGTTAGTGAGTGTCCCAGCCAGCATTCAAACCCAGGCCAACTAATTCAAGAACTATTAACTACTCTTTTACACATGAGTCCTTGCTTTTGTCGCAAAAGCATAACTCAAGGTTAATTCAAAACCTGGTATGTACTTTCCCAGTGAACCAACCATATACACCGTGGTTGGGTTCTCCCTTCACTCTACAAACTTCTACTTAACCTCCAATCATCAGGATTTGCCAAGGGGCTAAGAAACACTAGGAAAGGGTGAAGGCGTTTCTCTTTCTTTCCCAGGTGCAAGAGCCCACAGCAGAGCTGCTCAAGCTTGGCTTGGTTTCCGCATTCTTCCTTTGCTTCCTAGGCCCTGACCCGTGTCCCAGTGTCCTGACACCATCCTGCCCACCCCACTCCAGCACCCCACCTGGAAAGCCACCTCCACCAGCACATCATTGTTTTAGTTGCTTAGTCATGTCCAACTCTTCGGGACCCCAAGGACTGTAGCCCACCAGGCTCCTCTGTCCATGGGATTCTACAGGCAAGAAAACGGGAGTGGGTTGCCATTTTCTCCTCCAGGGGATCTTCCCAACTCAGGGATCAAAGTTGTGTCTCCAGCTTGGCAGGAGGGTTCTTTACCACCACCTGGGAAGCTATACTTGCTGCTAAACATTTTTCCCCTTCCTACCATCAAAGCTACATTCCCCAAGTGAGCTGATTGAAATGAGACTTTCAAAGAAGAAAAGAGATGAAAATAACACAGAGTAGTATATAATAATAGATGGACACTTCACCCTTCAGAGGTTTTTGGCATCATTAGAAGATTGCTTGCTGGACCAAAGGAATCTCTGATGGAATTCCAGGTGCCACTTACAGAAGGAAAAGTCATCCCACATTGTCAGGTGGGGAAGATTCACTGCGAGGCTGAGTAGCACTTGGGGCCCAACTCTCCCAGGTGTTTCTTGGACCTTTCCTCACTTCTGAGCCCACATATTCTTTGATCGCTCCACATCTTCGCTCAGAACCTTCTATGGTAAGGGCGATGCAGGTTCACACAGGGGTCCAGCAGACCATTTTCACTCTAAAGCTGAGTCTTTAACTCAGAAGCTCACTTCTTGTCACTGACCCTCAGCTGAGTTACTTTCTGAAAGAAAGCATAAGCCACCCCTCTGAACTCCTCATGCTGGCTGCTGGCTGCTCCTCACTGCCTGGTCCTGCCAACAGTTCAGTCACATAAGACTCAATTTCATCATGTGAAAAGTCAGAGGTTTGGGAGAGCTGATTTTTCACAGTCCTTTTACCACTGACATTCTGTGAATCAAAATTCACTCTTTAACACAATGCTTCTCAGAGGAGTGGTGATAATCCCACCAGCTTTGTTAAATTTCAAAAAGTAACAGATTTTTTTTTTATCTCGAGACTTGACCTGGGAATATATAGAGACATTAAAATAGCATTAGGCCTTCCATTCTAAAAATAGGGCTTAAGAAAAATGTCTAGAGTGCTTCCAAATAGCTCTCTTAAGAGGTGTAACCAACCGAGACCCATAGGCTTTAAATTGCCAGATGAGGACATGTGAAATAGTGATGGGGTATTAATAACAAGCAGCCCTTTCAAACACTGAGCAAAATGAGGAGCCATTTGTTCTTGCTTTGCACGAAATTCAAGTGCCTACAAGGGGCTGAAGCATTTTGCTTTTCATCACATGGAACAGTGTGTTGAGACAGACCACACTATTTTGGAATATAAGTGCTGATATCCAAGCAACAAGCAGACTGATGTCTGAAAACAATGCTAGTAACAGGGAAGGAGTCAGATTTGGCTATCAGGACCCTATTTTAGAAAAGGTGATTGTTTTAAATGGACATTTGAAGGGTATTTGGTGGTGTGCAAAATCCCCTTAAAACATTTCAACTTAAAACATTTCAACATTTAAAACATTTCCACTAAAGCTTAAGCAGAAAATTCTTACCTCTGTAATTTTGTTGAAACAAATACATACAAATATAAATACTTCTACTATATACTAATAATGAGGTTTCTAGGGGATTTTCATTAGGAATGCTACTCAAATTATCTGTTAATACAAAAAAATTATAGATTTTTTAAAATAATTTTTTATAATTTTAAGCAAATTTATCAAATAAATTTCCTGTTTACAAATATATATATTTTTTTCTTTATTGTACTCTTTGACCAACATCTCCCCATTTCCCCACCCACAAATTTTCAGAATTTTATCTGCAAAAATAGCTCTGATAAAGACATAGTTAAAATTATTGAATAAGCTATAGCCACATTGTAGGCTTATATAATAGCTAAAGGATTTTTAGGTTTTATAAATCACTTTTTTCTAACTTTTTAGTTTTTTTAAAAAATATGGCTCATGTACAATATTATATAGGTTGCAGGTGTACAATATAGAGATTCACAACTTTTAAAGGTTATACTTGATTTATGGGCTTCCCTGGTGACTCAGATGGTAAAGAATCTGCCTGCAATGCGGGAGACCTGGGTCCAGTCCCTGGGTTGGGAAGACCCTCTGGAGGAGGGCACTCCACTATTCTTCCCTGGAGAATCCCCATGGACAGAGCAGCCTGGCGGGCTACCGTCCATGGGGTCACAAAGAGTTGGACATGACTGAGCAACTAAGCACATGGCACTTGATTTACGGCTATAAAACATTTGCTATATTCTCCATGTTGTACAATACAGTCCTGTAGCTAATTTTATCTAATATTTAACTTTTTACTTCAAACTACTTTTAGAGACTTACAGAAAAGTTTTAAAAATAATACACAAAGTTTCCATGCAGCCTTTATCCAGGCTCCCCCAAAGCAAACACCTTACACAACTACAGTACTATTATCAGAACCAAGAAATTAACACCATACATTATCTTTACCTAAAGTA